CAGTTCGTTTCTTATCGTTTAATTAGGAATTAATTATGATATCCGTTTTCTCTCTGCTGACTGCACAATTTGTTACCATTTTAACTTTATTTATAATTTATTTCTTTATTGAATTTTATGTATATTGACATGTCCGATTTATTGACTTACTGACATGTTCAATTGTTATGTAATGGCTTCTTACAGATTTATTTTTATTAATTTTATTAAACTGATTTTTTTCTTTTATATGTCTCCGATTTTTGTCTACGATGAAGTATTTGCTTTTTTTATCATATTAATTTTATTGTTTTTTAATTTAAAGGCATTCATACATTACGTTATATTAATTTCGATCATAGATTATATCGTCAATAATTTTCTAACACTGAAGAAGATTAAGTAAATTGAAACATATATTACTTTGGATAGAGCATGTTTTCTTAATTAAATAAATAATAATTAATTAAATATATTCGTTGTTTATTTTATATCTTTCGATTGCTCGTTACTAACCTTTTTTATTTATATTATTGCTTGTATGAATTCATTCATTTTTAATTTTATTTTATATTTTCCATTTCTATTCTCAATTATTCTATAAAAATCAATTTAATTTAAAAATAACTTAAAAATTAAAATATTACAATGTTTTTATTTATCGAGATGTCACAAAAAGAACATTTCACTTAGTCATCAGAAATCAAATAAGAAATCACCAAATTTACATTCGTTTGACATGAATGTTACGTGGATTTTTTCCTCCAGTTTTTTTGGTTTTATTCGTCTTTTTAAACGTTACCGTTAACTCTAATACAATTTAATGTATTTTTGTTAATACATTAATGCACATTAATATATAGAATTAGTGAGATACTACTAAATTAATCAGATTAATCTTCCGATTAATCAGATTAATCAAATTATAATAATTCTGATTTTAATGTTTGATTTTATGTCTCATTATATACTCTATTTTTGTCAGTTTGTAAATAAACATATTTGGTTTATAAATAAACATATTTTTTTATTATTTTTTTTATATAAAGGATACTTTTGAGTCATTTTTATCGCGTCGTTAAAGTTATTAGAATCTTTCCAAAGTATTAAACTATCATTTTATTAATCTTTATGTTTAGAAATATTTGATTTTGTATTGTACAGGAAGGGCTGCTACAACTTTTACAACGATACCACAGCATAAAATGGATATCCAGGCACTAGACAGCTCAGAGCTCCATAATGGTGATGGTAAGATTAAATCAGTCATAAAATTTATGATTATTTATTTATTTATTTTAAAACCTTCAAAATATTAGAATTTTTATTTTAGAAAAATGTATACTTGATATTGAATCATTGCTTGCAACCATCACCATTTTCCAATCAAGGGCCTTTAAAATTATATTTAATGAAACCTGTTTATTCATTTCATGCTTATTCACGAAAAACATCTAAAGCATATTTCAGAGAATTTATTTCTAGATCTCTAGCCTCATGTACAAATTGAAAAATTACGCAATCTTATATCTAATGTTCGAATAGTATATAATACTCAATTCTAATATTTATATAAAAGATTTGATATCAAAGAAGTGGTACCAAGTTATAGTTACATTGTCTCGTTCAATATACAATTGCTTTTAAAATATAAAACGTGATAAATATCAATTAAAAGCTTTTCCTTTCAATCCAAGTAATAACAGCTATTTTATTTTATCCTCTTTAAAAGTTATCAAATACTGGCGCCAATTATATCTTCTTAAAAAAATAAAACTTAATAAAAATAAAACTCAAGTATATATTTTTACATTTAAAAGTATTTCTATTTCAATCAAAAATATTACAAAATTACGTCATCTTATGTCTGATGTTTAATGATAATATATATAAAATATATCTTACTTACCTCTAATAACATGTATCATTTGTATAAAAGATTTGATATCAAAAAAGTGGCGCCAAGTTATAGTTACATTATCTGGAAAGTTCAATCTTTTTAAAAAATAAAAATAAAATTCGACACATATCTTTCCAAAAACTTTTCTGTTTTAATTCAATATTATATTACAAAATTATATATTATATTACAAAATTACGTAATCTTATGCATAATGTTCAAATAATATGCAATGTAATACTCAACTCTAATAATAAGTATCATTTGTATAAAAGATTTGATATCAAAAAATGGCGCCAAGTTATAGTTATATTATCTTGAAATAAGATAAGATCTTCAATAAGATTTGAAGTCCGTATGATTAAAAATAAAAATTTTTTAAATTTTTAATGGCGACAGAAAAGTTTTAAAAAAAGAGTTGCAGAATAGGTGCAAAGATATGCGGAAAGATTGTAAAAGAGTTGCGGAATGGTTGCAGAATAGTTGCGGAAATGTTGCGAAAGTGTTGTGGAAGAGGTGTAAAGATATGCGGAGAGCTTGTGGAATAGTTGCGGAATGATTGCGGAATGATTGCGGAAAGATTGCGGAAGAGTTGCAGAAGAGGTGCAAAGATATGTAGAAACATTGTGAAATGAGAAGAGTTGTGGAATGGTTACGGAAAGGTTGTAAAAAAGGTGCTATGATATGCGGAAGGATTGTGGAAGAGTTGCGGAATGGTTGTAGAACAACTCTAAAGATGTGCGAAAAGATTGCGAAGATAAATTACGGGAGGTTGCGGAATGATTGCAGAAATATCCGGAAAAGTTGCGGAATGGATGCGGAGAGGTTGCAGGAAGAGAGGAAATATGCAGAATATCCATTTTATTATCTTAATAATTATATTTGATGATCTAGTTTTATAAAAAGAGGATAAGAAAGAGCGTGTGTCACGACGAGGCCCGATCACGAACCAATTGTAAAAATTCGTAATTATTTTTGTGAAAAATATCATCTCAGCCAGAAATCGAACCTGGATCTCCCGCTTATCGGGTAGACATCTTATCCTTTCAACTACAGAGGCATGTGATGATATTTATCGCAAATAACGTTTAGAATAACACGTCAACAATTCAATGATACACACATATATACATACTACATATACATACATACATGTATATTCTCGAATCCCCACGACTGGTATTTCAGAGAGATGATGGTCCTATTCTCTCGATGCAGGTCGGACCGCAGCGGCGACACTCTCCAGAGAGACTGCGGAATTATATAACACGGTGAAATTACATTCATATCTCGCGCCGAGGACTTCATCGCCGCCGCTGCGTAGTGACGAAAATTGCAATACCATATGGAGGGTGACGACAATAATGATGATAATGACGACGTTTCTTAATAGTAAATTTATTAAGTATCGGACTTTGAATCGTAATATCTCCGCTCATACAACACGGAAAGAAAAACTAAAAACACTCATTATATAATTCAAACCTAAGCTATCGATTGCGCCTGTTCAGAAATTGATCAGTTCAGCCGTTATTGAGATCCGATAATCTTGATAGTCAGCAACTCGTCAACTCGCGTAAAGAGAAACGGCCGATCTCGCGCTCGCGAAACGCTGGCACTTGGCGACGAGTCAGTGTTTGTCGATAGCATGCATGCACAAATTTTTAGAACATTTATTACGGCAGTATATTTTTTCTATGATTATTATTTTACTTTTTCCGAAAATTTTCAATAATTACTCTTATTCAATTAAAACATTTGTTTTTAGTTATATATTTCTTATTGCTTTTCGCTTTAAAAAATTATTTAGGATAAAATCAATTAATCATTTGTTCTGCACTTTTTATATGTATGTATTTGTCATATGTATAACATATATGTATAACATATATGTATATAAATCATATTATATTCAGAAATAAACCAATTTTTTGCTAATTAATACATTAATGCAATTTTTTTGTTTTAACATTAGTATTTTCAGGTATTTAATGAATCTATTATTTAATGAAAGTTAAAATGAGTAAAAGCTTATTAACATTATACCTTTCAGCGAAGAATTATTCTCGCACAATATTAACACTTCTATATACATATACATATACTAATATCTATGAATTAATACATATATGCATTCCATTCAAATTCATAAATATACATATTTATAACCCGCTTCACTTACCATCGTTGTAAAACTCTTAATTATTAGACCCATTAATTTCAGAAAAACTATTTAATATGACATATGATATGAACAAGAAAATAAAGACGATGATTTCTACTTACTAAATTAATAAAGAATCTTAAAAACAGATTCAAATAGATTCTTATAAAACTTTATCATAATCTTTAATAATAACTTTATCATAATTGTTTTAATACAATTCAAACTGACATCGTTTTCTGTGGCATAGAAATATTATCTATAGGGTGTTTAATGTAACGATTCACACGATTTTTGAGATACTTCGTTAAAGAAAAGAGTTAGAAAATGAATATTTATTTGTTTTACTATAAACTATATTTGCAATAAAAAAAATCAAAGAATTTTTTTATAAAGAATCACCTTAAATTTTTTAAAGAACACTGCGCAATTATTTTTCATAATATTGCAACGTGAATTCTTCATTATTAAGATGAACTTAATTAATTCTAGTTGGGAATATCACTTTTATTGATATTTTATTGATTTTAATCATTGATTTTAATAGATGGCGTTACTCGATACGCAGAACACTAAATACTTAATTATTTTTATTAATAAAGTGATACTCGGTGTTAAATATAATGTAAAAATTAAGACAAATGAGAATCAGCGCTGTTCACAGTGCACAATTAATACTCTTTATTACAAACTTTAATATATAATACAGACGTTTGGACTCAAGTTTGAGTCATCTTCAGTGAATATAAAAATATAAAAATAAAGATAAGATTCTGTGTTCATCTGATAAGCTCATCAATGATAAAATCGTTAATTAATAATTATTATAATCGTACATATATATGCCATCTTTAAAGGAAACGAGACAATGGCCCTTAAGCGCTGTCAATTATCAGATGAACACAATTCACACTAAACCAGAGAAAGCACATGCAGTAGTACAGCATAGTTCGCACCGAGTAACACATCGCACAGCGCGTCCGGACGCCTTGAGCCCCAGTAACTGAGCGCAATGACTTTTAAATTTAACAACTTGCAATCAAAATAAAATCGAGATTATAGCTTATTCAAGACAAAAACGTAAATGCGTGTAATGTAATAATTCAATAATATGTAATAATTCAGTATCAGACTGTAACGGAATTTAGGCTATTATTTTGTTTTTTAATAAAAAACATCTCTGCAATCAGTCGTTTCTGTAAATTTCATTGACAGTCTAATACTTTCACATCGTTCATATCCCCCCTCTCTTCATACTTTAAGAGATAAGTGATTTCTTAACGTCCATTTCTTGATGTCCACTGCCTACATTCCTCAAGAAGTCCAGTGTTTGCTTCAACTTGGCGAAAATTTCGCCTTACCTTTATACAATTTAGAAAAAAACTATCACTGAATTCATTAAGAACATTGGAAACAATTTCCAGAAGCTTCCTACTGAGGCACACTTGAACTTGTGGAACAGGCTAATATCCATCATCAATAATCTTTCAACAATCTCTCTCCCCCCCCATAAATAGCATTAACGTCACTATCACATTTACTAAAATCCACGCAACAATTTCTACATACCTAACATCATCTTCACCCAAACAGATAAAGGTAATTTACATTTCATATTAAGGTAATTCATTCATATTAAGGTAATTCGCATTGAATAAAGACAGTTATCTTACGAAAATGAAAGATATGTTACAAGATACTAAAACTTATAGTGTAATCACAAAAGATCCTACTAGGACTATCACTAACAAGTGCGAGATATTCTCAAAACCTGGAAGAACTCTAACTGTATATCGGAGACACTGTACAAACTTCTTTCTTGTACCGAAATTCTCTCCAGGGTTTATGGGCTTCCTAAAATATACAAGCATGGATGCCTCCTTCGAATAATTGTTCCGTCAATTGATAGTCCACTATATAATCTGGCACTTTTCTTGAACAAACTCCTATCAAGAAGTATCCCAAAACTTTCAATTTATATAAAAAACAGTTTTAAACTTGCTAACAAGTTATCTAACATACATTTGACTGATGATCACATATTTGTTTTCTTCGATGTGATTTCCTTGTTCACTAATGTTAGTAGTATGTGGGCTGTTATGAGGCATCAAAACAAACCTCCACCACTTTCCCACTGGTGCCAGGGGCGTGGCCTCCGGCTGTCAAGATAGGGCTTCCACGTGGAAATGGAGCGTTCTGATTGGCTGAGGGGCGTGGCCGGAGATAATTAGGTAATTAGTGGTGCGTTCTGATTGGATTCTCCCATAGTTGCCCGGCGCGTGATTGGATGCTCCAAAAGCTGGTGTGAAATGCTAAACGAAAAGATAGAGGGAGGGGGTGAAAGTGTCTGGGGCCGTTCGGGGTCCGACAAAATGGCGTGTGCAAAGATGGCGGACACCTGAGAAGAATTTGTTCTGGGGTCTGATCGGGGGGCGATAAAATGGCGACAAGAAGGATGACGAGGTGTTGAAAGGGGATACCTGATCAACGGAGAATGCGATTTTTATTGTACAGTAAACAGGATGAGGCGAAGAAAGGAAATTGATTCTTTGTATATGAGGCGAGTAAATCGAATTTTTCTCAAGAGGATTCTCGAGGCCTAAGCTATAGCTAGTGAAACCATTAAAAATTTGTTCCGGGGCTGATTGGGATCTGATAAAATGACGACTACGAAGATGATAGACGTCTGAAGGAATATACTGACGAGAATGGAATGTGAACTTTATGGTATGATATGGTATGGATGACTTTATGGCTTGGATCGAAGGAAGGAAATTGATTCTTTGCATTGCTCCGAGGTCGCTCGTGGACTCCGGCAAAATGGCGCCAGCGATAAGAAGGACGACGAACGTCTGAAGGGAATATGCTTGTCCTGGCGAGAAGGGAATGCGAATTTATGGTATGATACACAACTTAGATCGAAGGAAACTGATTCTCTGTATATATGAGATACAAATCACGTTTTTTCTTAAGCCGGAAGGTTTTTCCAGACCCAATAGCTAATGAAATTATTAAAACTTGTTCCGGGGCCCCTCGTCTGATAAAATGGCGCCAACGATAAGAAGGATGATGAACGTCTGAAGAGAATATGCTCGACCTCGGCACTAATGGAAAAAGATTTTTTTTGCGGTACGATACGCAGAACGTCCCGAAAATAGAAATTTGTTACTTTGTATATATGGGGATTTGTTACTTTGTATATATGGAATGTAACTCAAGTTTTTCTTAAGACGAAAGGTTTCTCGACGCCTAATAGCTAGCGAAACTTAAAAATTTGTTTCGCTCAGGATTCGATAAAGCGATGTCTGCGACAAGAAAGATGAGAAAAGTCTGAAGGGAATATACTTGACCTGACGAGAATAGAATGCGATAAGAAAACAATAACGAACAGGTTCGCACTAAATGTTTTTCTAACGAATTCGGAATTATATGAAGCTCTTATTCTATAACAAACGCAATGTCTGAAAAATTTTTTAGATATTTCTAACTCGAAGTAACGTAGCGCGTTAATTTTTAGGTTGAAGTGAAAAGAAAATAAGAGGGGCAAAGACTGAAATTTAAATTACAAAATGATTAAGTTTATTGTTATATCATTGTACATATTATATCAATTCATAAATAAAAGTTACAAATTACGATTTGAGAAAATAATACGAAGAATTTCATTAAATCTGAGAGAAGTTAATTCCACAAATATTATATCGAAATACGAGAGTAGTCTGAAAAGTTTTGAGCCTTAACATGACGTTACTCGTCAAAACCATTCTAGTACTACAATAGTATATGCTTTGAAAGACTTTTGTAAAAATTTCAGCCATTTTGGACGCTCAGTTGTTGTTTGACAGTCGTTTGTGTCAGTCGATGTCAGTGTTTTTGTAAAAATGGAAAAAATTGAATATCGTGCCGTGATTAAATTCTTACATTTGAAAGGCAATACGCCTGCGCAAATTAAAATCGAGTTGGACGCTGTTACGGGGACTCTGCCCCATCATTTGCCACCGTAAAAAATGGGCAGCTGAATTTAAACGTGGTCGTACCAGCTTGACTGATGATGACCAAAAACTGCGACCACCGCTGATAACATCAAAAATGTTCTAAATGATACTGGACGACCGTCGAATCAAGGTTAGAGAGATAGCAGAGGCTATGGGCATATCGAAAGAACGCGTTTATCATATATTGACTGAAGAATTTGAATATGCGCAAGCTATCCGCACGTTGGGTGCCGCGCTTGCTCATTTTGACCAAAAACGAATTCGAATGAACATTTTCAAGGCTCTGTTGGAGCGGTTCAAGCGAAACAAGTCAGATTTTTTGCGTCGATTCATAACTGTAGAAATTTGAATCCACCACTACACTCCAGAGACAAAAGAACAGTCAAAACAGTGGACTGCAAAGGGTGAACCTGCTCCGAAAATGTGAAGACGATTCCATAAGCTGGGAAGGTAATGGCGACTGTTTTTTGGGATAGTCACGGAATTGTGTGTATCGACTATCTTGAAAAAGATAAAACAATAACGGGAGCGTATTACACATCATTACTTGATAAGCTGAAAGCAGAAATTGCAAAAAAACGGTCGCATTTGAAGAAGAAGAAAGTGCTGTTCCATCAACGCACCTGCTCACACTTCGGCGGTCGCCATGGCCAAAATTCACGAACTGCACTTCGACTTGGTTGACCACCCATCATATTCACCAGATCTGGCCTCCAGCGACTTTTTCCTGTTTCCTAAGTTTAAAGTTTCTCTTGGAGGACAGAAATTTTCATCGAACGAGGAGGTCATCGCATACGTAAACGCCTATTTTGCGGAGCAAGACGCCAATTACTATTTGGAAGGATTACTATTTAGAGGTTAGAGTATCGATGGGAAAAGTATATCGACTTAAAAGTAGATTATGTTGAAAAATAAAATTATATTTGACCGAAGAAATATAATACTTGTTTCTATGTTAGGCTCAAAACTTTTCAGACTACCTTCGTACATATCCAGAAATGTTAAATCGTTTATTTGCCTACGTACATTGCGCGCGATTTCGTGATAATTTCCTTTCAAACTAAGTTTTACAATATCACTATCTATGTAACTTTTTGGAAGGTTTAATTCTATTTCTTTTATAAGATATTGCGTGCATTTATTAACATTATCGGTCACACTTTGTAAATGTTTTAAGTGCGCGTCGACACATTTCACAATATTTTCCAATCCGTGAAAAGTATTCTTCTGCATTACAATTGCGATAGTATAGGTTTTACGCCTCTTCGTCGGTAGCTGCGAATCCGTCGTTCCTCGAATGTTGAATTTCGATATTTTCCATAGTGATCTCTTCATTTTCTTTATACGCCAGTAATATGGACCGTGACCCATAAGAGGAGGTAAAGTTGATCGCAACATTTTTGACAATGATAGGATCCGGTCTCGATTTATTGTTAGCGTTTAAATATTCGTCGATAAGCCCCATGTTGTTTAGGAATTGTTGCCAGGAATCAGCGTCGAAATAAATTCCTTCTGCATAATTACCGGTTAATTTAATCATTGGCACGAAAACTCCTTCGTTTGTCGTTTGCAATCCAACGTGTAGTCTTTTCATGTGAGAGATGTTGAGTCCATATGTTGTCGAGAGCACCATATGGAACTTGTCGTTTCATTCCTCGTTACAATTTCCTTTCGGAATATCATAGATGTACTTGCGCCTCTCAGAATCGGGGACATTGTTCGGTTCCGGAGTATTACGCTTCTCGGTATCGGAAACAACTTTTCGGCTCGTCATTGTTCCTGTTTTCTTCTCAAATGTAATTAATAATCACAAGCGTCGAAATGAGAAACTACTTCAGATTTACGAAGTTGAAACCTCGAAGGATGACACTCGAATGAACCGAGGGCTGACGAATTCGTCGAGCTCGTTGACTTATCTACTAAGAAAAAAGAACTGCACGCGCAGATGGGCAAATGAAAAATTATAAAATTTAAAATATTTTTTAAATTATAAAATTTAAAATATTTTTTAAAATTATAAAAATTTAAAAATATTTTTTTAAAATTATGAAATTTAAAATATTTTTAAATTAAAAAATTTTAAAAGATTTTAAAATTAAAATTTTTTTAAATTTTAAATTGTAAAATTATTAAATCTTTTAAACTTTAGATTTTCTAGACTTTTAAAACTTCTTCGCAAAATATTTTTTCTAATAAACCTAGAAACTACAAAATAAAAAAGAAGGGAGTTAGAGATGTTTCTTGAGTGGCGAACTTTTCTTTTAGCTATGTTTTAACTATGAGAGAATAGAAAAGGTGTAACCTGTATTAAGGAGAATTTTGGCCTGTCCATGGCGCTGCATTTTTTTGCGTGTCACCCTCTTTTCGGAGTGTGCGGGTAAGATTTTCAAAGTATAAATACCGAGATTATACTTTCTCGGGGTGACTTGGCTTTTTACATTACTGCGCCGATTCGTTCGCTGTCTTAATTCTAAAATAATGAAGGAGTGAAAAAATGGCACTCTGTGAACATTAAGAAGATTTTTTTATCGTGTGCGCGAATATCAACCCGACGATAAACGCGAGTGCTTATATTTCATTATTAACAAATGAAGAAGAAACAAATTACATCACATTTGCAAAATTCGTACCGGAGTGCTCGAAAACCATATTGAGCATTATGTTCAGATTATGGTATTTTGTGGACAAAAGACCTTTCAATATTATAAAAGAATATATAATCGGTGCAATGGCTGGTGTGGGGAAGGATGATGCTAGCGGACATATCGCTTATTTTATAAGGTGCACCGGAGGAGGTAAATATTTATTTTAAAGTAATTAAAATTAAAATATGTAGGTATAAAAAATTCTAAATTTAAATATTTTTTAAGCGAGAGATAACATCGCGGTTGTACATCTGTACCAATTACGAAGATTGAGACGCCCCGCCGAAGACGAGGCGGAAGGAGTAAACGAGCGTGAATAAAATAATAG